AGAGAGAGAGAGAGAGAGAGAGAGAGAGAGAGAGCATCTGTCTCTCTTTATTCTTTTGCTTTCTTGTGTTTTTACTCTGCATGTGTGCGTGTGTGCGCTTGTAACTGGGTCATTCCCTTTCTACTTTTTTGTCTGTCTGCTTCTACTCAGTGTGTGTATGTGTGTGTTTTGGGATGGGGGCAGGGGTGGAGTTCGTGTGTGCGCACGGCTTGGAATATGTGAATTGCAGTGAAAGGTGGCAAGGTGCGGCAAGCTTTCAAACAACGAGTTTGGGTTCCTGAAGAAAGACAAGTCAAGGGTCGTGAATAAGGATACTGGACTTGAAATTATTTTCTTTTCTTTGAGAGGCGGGGTAAGGGAAGGGGAAAAGTGGGGGGGGGGGGGGGGGGGGGGGGAGGAGGATAGAGATTCCTAAAAACGAATGACTGGATTTTCCCGAGAGTGAGGTTCGGTTTCCTAGAGAATGAGATTGGGGTCGTGATGTTTAGTGAACAAGACCGGGTTTCAGAAAGAGTGGTGGGTGTGGGTGTCCTATTGAACGAGGTTGGGAGAGCTGCTGACGGAGATTGAGATACCGTTCAATTGGCATTTGATATAGAAAAGCATGTAAGTTGTTATTCGATTAGTGATTGGAGTTTTTTGTTCATCTCTCGGGGTTTTCTTCTCCCTTAGTGACTTGATGATGAGATAGTAGTGGTGGTCTTGAACCATGCATGTTTTGTGAATGCTCTGTTGGCGGGGAAAATTTAATCTCACTGGTAGGAGCGGGTGCGCAGGGATGGGGTGGGTGCGGGGGTGGGGAGGGATCGGGGACAAGTTACAGGCGCAGGTGCGGGGGTGGGTGCGGGCGGGGGGCGGGGTGTGGGGGGTAATCTAGTCTGATCGTGGGACACTCTAGTCTCACGGGCATGTTTCGGGTTTAAGGTTTAGGTAGGAAACTCTCCTTTGGGTTTAGGGTTTAGGCAGAAAGCTCTCCTCTTACGATGTGTTGTGTAAATGATCTGATGGCAGGAAACCATTCTTACGATCGAATACATCCCGGCCGTTGTACCTCCTCATAAGGAGCAGAGTGTTCTCCATGACGACTGGATCAGTGCACTTTCTGGATCGTTGCCCAGGTATTTGCTTTTCAAGGTGGTCTTGTTCGGAACCAATAGCGCTTCATTTTTTGTTGGGGGGGCGGGGCGGCAAGTGCTTCATTTTTTGTAGGGGTCGGAGCACTTGCTTGCGAGGGGCAAAAAAAGCTTTCGTTGCCTCCTTGGCCTCTGTTGTCACTGAAAAAGTGGTCAGCAAGTGCCCGCATGCTGTCCAAGAACATGAACAAACATTAGATGATGCGCTTGGGAAAGTGTCAGACGGGTGCACACAAAATGGCCTCTATATATACTTTTGATACATGCATATACACAGCCTCCTGATGAGCCGGCGAAACTCCTGCGGAACAGTTTGTCACAGCCTCTCGTTTGTTGTCCTCGTCTCCCTCTATGCTTATGGTTTACGGGGCAGTTCTGTTTGACGATATATATATCTATCCCAACCCTTAAGCAGCATTGGCCGTGGGGGGAGGGCGGTGTTCCGCTGCRCGCCRGAATCGGGTTGAAGTTTTGATGCGGGCCGGCGGATGAAGGCGATCGAGGGAGGGGGGGCGTGCAGAGCGGCGCGCGTACCGAATTGTTCACAGCGCGCCAGAAAACGAGAGAGCGCGCACACGGGGCCCAGCGGCGGCGGGCGTTGATGCGAGGGAAGATCTGGAAGCACCCGCCGTCGGATAGCAAGGAAGTGTCGTTTTGTGGCTTTCTGTTTTGTTTTTTTTTTCCCCTTCTTTTCGTCTCTCTGATTATTTTTTGCCCCTTTTTTGTTTCCGTTTTTGGCAGGCTCCTCTTTTTCCTTTTTGGCGTTTTCGGCAGCCTGTTTTTCGTTTTTGGCGTTTCCGGCGGCCACTTTTTCATTTCGGGCGTTTTCGCGTGGGCGGCGAGTGGGCGGGGAAACGGAAAAAAAGAAAAGCCGGAGGGCCCGCCTGCCCACCCACACGCAAGCACCGCCCGCCCGGCCACGCACGCACGCACGCACACACACTAATATATATGTTAGTATTAGTATTTGAAGCTTGCCACAAAGTGGTTGTGGTCGGGTTGGGGTTTGAACCCGTGCACAGATTTTGAAATACCCAATTGCCCGATGAGATAACTGTTCAGGTGGACTGGGTCCCTGTTTGCTTTTGGGGACTGCTTTCTTTTGAAGTGTATCCGACGTCAGGCTGCTGGCACGTCAGGATGTGCCTGTGTGTCCTAACCCTAAGGTTGCACAGTGCGGCAGGCGGGTCCAGTCCTGCAATTTTCAAGCACCAACTTCGGCGATTTTTAGTTCTCAGAGTAATTAATCAAAAGATCTGAAAGTTTCAGATCCTGTAGATTAGTTTCCGCTCTTTCTAGAAAAAATATTAGAAAAAAAAAAAAACGTGAAATAAACGCCACGCCGATTCGTTGTGTTTTTGTTTTTTACCGCCCTACGACGTGTGGGCCAACGGAGAAAGTACCCCAACTTCCGCGATTTTTAGCGCTGAGAAGAAAGACTCGAATCCGCTGAAAAGTTAAGGGTCTGCAGGTTTGGTCTTAATCTTTTCACGAAAAATGCTAGGCTACCAGCCGGACCGCCCGGGTCCCGGGTGGCCAGCCCGTGCAAGGGCCAGGGAAGGTCCGAGCAAAAAAAAAATAAAAAAAAATCAAAAAAATCCGAAAAAAAAAACTATGTTCAACTTTTGCCTCAGGGTCACATCGAAATTCTTCACCTATTTTAGAATAAAAAATAAACATAAAAAATAATTATTTTATTTTTATTTTTAAAATTTTTTTTGGCCCGGCCGGGCAAGTGACCCCAGGCCACTCTGGTAGCCTAGGAAAAATGTTAAAAAAAAAAAAAACGTTTAGACCGCAAAATAAATATCGCGCCAAATGGTCTCATTTCCAATTCTTGGCACTTCTTTTTTTTTTTTTTTTAAACAAGTGCTCCAGTCTATTCGTGGGGAGCAGCACGTGCTGGGAACCGGGCCCAGCGTCCCATATCGAATTGTACAGATCATTGAGAACATTTGAGATCGTTTGAGATCATTTGAGATACCGGGGCCATCAACGCACAAACCCTAAGAACATTTGAGATCGTTTGAGATCATTTGAGATCGTTGCACCTATACCGCCGGAGCCATTCCAAACACCTATACCGACTGAGCTTCTCCAAGCACCTATACCGACCGAGCCACTCCAAGCGCCTATACTGACCGAGCCACTCCAAGCACCTACACATCGAACCACTCCAACCACCTACCCACCGAGCCATTCCAAGCACCTACCCACTGAGCCACTTGAAGCACCTACCCACGGAGCCACTCCAAGCACCTATATTGACCGAGCCACTCCAAGCACCTATACCGCCCGAGCTGCTCCAACCACCTATACCGACTAAGCCATTCCAACCACCTATACCGACTGAGGCACTCCAAGCACCTATACCGACCGAGGCACTCCAAGCACCTACCGACCGAGCCACTCCAAGCACCTCCCGACCAAGCCACTCCAAGCACCTCCACACTGAGCCACTCCAAGCACCTCCCCACTGAGCCACTCCAAGCACCTCCCCACTGAGCATTGGCCGAGGGGGGAGGTCGACCACTCCAAGCACCTCCCCACTGAGCATTGGCCGAGGGGGGAGGTCGACGGTCCGCTGCGCGCCGGATTTGGGTCGAAGTTTCGGTGTGGGCCGGCGGATGAAGGTGATCGATGGCGGGGGGGCGTGCAGAGCGGCGCGCGTACCGAATTGTTCACAGCGCGCCATTAAACGTGAGAGCGCGCTCCCGGGGTGGGGCAGACAGCGGGCGTCGATGCGGATGTACATCTCGAAGGAGAGCCCTCCGATATGCGAGTGTCGGGCTCCCCCGCCCCCGGCCCCCTGTGAGTACGTTCTTTACTGTTTCGGTAGTTTTGGTTAAGGGCATACGTTGTTAGCGGCCTTGGTGTGGGTTTGTGTTTTGTGAAGCAAGACCTTAATACAATGTACATGATCGACTAGCCTTTTAGCTTTTTGTGTGCGAGCATTGCCAGCACCGCCCGCACCACTACATTCGTTATCTTTGCGGGCGTAGACAAAAAACATTCATGCGCACTTCTTAGCGGCCTAGGTGCGGGTTTGGTGTGTGGTGAAGCAAGATATGGATCCAAGTGCAATAAGAGGCTCCCCACCTGCCCCCTGTGAGTACTTTCTTTACTGTTTCGCTAGTTTTGGTTGCGGGCATACTTTCTTAGCGGCCTTGGTGCGGGTTTGTGTGTTGTGAAGCAATATCTCGACACAATGTTCATAATTGACTAGCCTTTCTGCTCTTTTATGTGCGGGCATTGCCCGCACCACCCGCACCGCAGGCGCTAAGCTAGTAGATATATAAAGCTCCAGTCTATTCATGGGGAGCAGCATGTGCTGGGAACCAGGCTCAGCGTCTCATTATACAGCATCGACCATCCACAAGGAAATAGACTAGTGTGCAGCAGCATGTGCTGGGTACCGGGCCCAGCGTCCCATTATACAGCATCAACCATCCACAAGGAAATAGACCAAGTGCAGCATCAACCATCCACAAGGAAATAGACGAAGTGCAGCATCAACCATCCACAAGGAAATAGACTAAGTGGGAAAAAGGAATTCAACACAGCATTAATTGCCCTGGGGATCACAGGTGCCTGTCCTTTTGAAAAGAATACAAGAGAAGATCTGCCTCTTCAGGCCTGATACGTCCGCCAATAAAGAACTTGACGGCCAAGCCGATCTTCAACCAAATGCTTCTGTGTCCACCTCAGTTACCCACTTCTATACCAGGCCAGGTCCGCTTAACAATTTTCTGCAGGAAGGAAGGGGTCAGCAACTTCTTGAGGTGGGCCTCATGGGGAATGACTCTGCAATGTTGGTCTAATCAGAAAAGCAGAAGTGAGCCCTTTGAAACTTGAATACATCCTTCTCTATCCTTCCAATCACCTTTTTTGTTGTTTCCAAGTCGTTTATTTTGGCTTCGTCGTCCTCAGGTTCACTTAGGTTAGGTACTCGATCTTGTCCATCGTTATTACTCCTCCATCAAGATGTTGGTTTGAATTGATCACGTTCATTTTGGTTGTTGACATGCATTTACGGTTTGCCTCTGCTCATCTCGCTGTCGTTGATTGAGATTGTGATACGCATGGTGGCACAATCCGTGGTGACAATTGGAGTTTGTTGCGTTGACTGTTCCTCCTGACTGGTGATGGGCATCGCCGTTGTCTTTGTACAGATAGTAGGTGCGGTTTTTCTCATAGAGAGTAGTCAGAAATTCGAATCTGGATTCGCCACGGTCCGGTGAACGTTCGAACTCCCCTGGTGTGTATCTGCAATGGATGCATGCATCCGTCTGTATGCCTGGGTGCTCGAGAGAGAGAGAGAGAGAGAGAGAGAGAGAGAGAGAGAGAGAGAGAGAGAGAGAGAGAGAGAGAGAGAGAGAGAGAGAGAGGCCTGAGCGTAGGGTAGTGTGTGTGAGAGAGGGAGCGAGTTGTTGTTTGTGGCCATAGCCATCAGACTGTATGCAAGCAAGTTGCTGTGTAAGACATTGATTTCCCGACAGTTTCTGAAGTTATCTGGTGTTGGCTTTGATTTTGTGTATCGAGCTTTGGTGTGCTGAAGTGTGTTAGCAGTGTGAAGTGAGACGCTGTTTGAATCGTGGGCTCATTGCACAACAATATGTTTCCTTGTTTTCTTGGTGATGATGACTGCAGGTGTATTATGACTGGATCATATGATGGTACAGGAAGGTATGGATCGACTTTATGTGCCAAGGCAAATGCCATCCTCTCACGATGTTTCGTTTTTTTTTTTTTTTTTTTTTTTTTTTAAGCATTCGGGTCTGCCCCTTCCTGAGACTCCACCCACCCTCCTTCGGCCAACTGTCCCTGGCGCATTCCCCACTCCCCCAGTCCCACCTCAGTGTCTATCTCTCAGGACAATCACCCGTCTACCATTTCTTGGCAGGATGACCTGACGGAGCAGCGGCCCATGCTCCAACGCTAAGCAGAATATCCCAGTCAGCCCTGGTTGACGTTTCTGCTTGGATTCCGTGAAGAACGGTTCAGTCCCCAAGGTGTGTGTGCTTGGTGACGATGCAGAGTGCAAACATATACATTGACAGCACCCTGCAGTCCAGGCACTTGTGCGGGTAAGGTACATTTCCATTGGTGTATAAATGGGGTTCAGCCTCCTGACAAGCCAATGAAACCTTGACGAAACAGTCTGTCACAGCCCCTTGTTTGTTGTCCTCTTCTCCCTCTCTGCCCCTACGGTTCAATATGTGATCACCATGGGGGTTATACCCATACTGATACCCTGCCTTACATTTATTATGCCATCAAATCGCACAAATCTCCTCCAGCTCATCACAGCATTCTGGGAGTTGCAGCACAAAACAACATTGCTGTTCCCCCGCGCGCTTGCCTTCATCCTACAGTCTGTACCATTCATGAACAGCCTCCTCACACACCATTGGCTAGTACAACGATTACTTCGTTGTATCTCAGCGCTGCTTTGCAAGGAGTGATCTTTACTCTTTGTGGGAAAGACGCTGAGCTCTATCAATAGGTTGGTGTTCCACGGTGCTGGATCGTCCAGAGTGCCGATGAAGTGGCGCTTGACCATAAAAACAATGCATCCTCTCTTTGTGGCCTCTCTCCTCGCACTGTTGATTTGAACGCAATGTGCACAGTCTGAACAATGTGGCGAAAGCTGTTGATGAATGAAGCCCACACTTGTGCCCTTTGGCATACTTGCGAGCGTTCACACTGCAATGCCCTGAACATGGTAATTCGAGGACCTTGTTGTGGCCAATGGACAACTGATTCAGGCCCGCGTACCTTTCTGTTTCTCAAGATTCTCCAACATCTTTGCTCTGTTGTACAAAACAATTTTTGTATTTCTAATCTGACGCTATATCGGAATGAAAAACACTTTATTGATGACATTCTTCAGCTTGACCTTTAAGCTGCTCAGCAATATGCTTTGACTTATCGCCTCATTGATGGTGTTCTTTCATGGGAGCAATTACCTCCTCGACCAAAGCACCACGGCCTTGAGTGGAAGGAATTTACAGCGCCAGATGGCTCCTGTATCTTTTTTGCACACAACGACAGGTCCGCTCAGATGGCTCGCTTTGCATGAGTGTCTCCAACATCCCTTCCCATCAACCAGCCGGTGTGTTCACTGGGCAGTTGACCAGAATCTGAACAAATCTGCAACAAATGGTGGGACTTCCTAGCTGCCTCAACAACACTTACTCGCCGGATGCTTTCTCGTGGGCATCCCCCATCAACCCCTGCTAAAGGGCTGGACCTGCTACATGCGCTCCTGCCAACGCCACTATCCTACACATGTGACACACTTCTCACAGTGGCTCCGACTCATGCTGCGGTGGTTCCTGTATCATCCACTTCCTTCTTTGCCCTCTCAAAGCTCTTGTCCTGCCCCTGCTTGCTCATCTGCTGCTGTTGTAGTTTCGATGGCTGCAGTTCCTACTCAGGATGCAGCCCCAAATGTCCAGGGATTGACTGACCAGCAAATAGCCCGGTACATGTTAGCCTTGCAATACCATCTGGGTGATGTGCAAATTGTGGGCCATCATTTGGCACTCCAGCCTGAGATCCCCTCCAATCTCTGTGGTCTGGCTGCTACTAATATCTGCCTGCGGGCTCTTCGCCGCCCGCTTTACACAGCATTGAACTTTCTTGCCGTTGCTGTGCAGCTTGATGTTGAATCATCCCTGCCGACAGCCAGTGGATTGTAATTACACCAGGGAAGGAGGCTTTACAATTGCGGTCCTAGAAGTGGCATGAGGGACTGCCAACTTGAACTATGCAATGCTCAAGCAGGTGAGTGGTTTAGTCCACCATCTCACAGCTCTGCCTGCATTGTACACGGATCTGACGCTTACATGGCCATTGTACATGCCTCTGACCACTGGGATCTGTGGTACAACGGCACCATGGTCCATGCCATGACTGATGCTGCTGATTCTTACAGAACGAGGCCGTTTCTTGCCACACCAAACAGTCCGCACACTCTTTTATGTCGAAGATCATTTCATGGGCCCTGTGCCGCATAAGGACATGTATCTGTGACCTTCTCATTTGCACAATTACAAACACTGTTACACTCGGCTGCAGTCGTCATTGTCTCTGTCCCAATCACTACAATGACATGGTTTCTGCATCCATGTGTGCAGACGACTGTCCCTACTTTCCTGACTGCAGGCACCCTTCACATTGGCACGCTTTATCCATTTTTTGCGGCCATGGGGAATATACAAAGTGTATGGTCTGTTGTGGTGCCCGTTCTTCCTTCATATGGCATGTCGGGAGTGTTTGATGGGCATGCTCAGTGCCAGCTATCATGGCACTGGTTGTACTTGGAATGCCCAGCTACCTAGGTCTTCCATGTGTTCATCCACCTCATCCTTACAATGTATGTCCTCTCTGTTGTCAAGGACAGACTGATTCTTGAGCCTTTTTTTATCTTTTCCTATGCTTTTATCTTGATTCCACACTCCTAACTTTTCCCCTTGCTCCCGATTGTTCTCGTTTGCTTTCTCTTTGCCTTCCTTCTTTGTCTTCTTTCCGTACTTTCTTGCTGTTTACCCCCTCCCCCTTCTCTCTGCATCTTCTTCACAGCGTAAGTGGGCCCGTCATTGCGCTCAACTTCATCAACATGGCAAGCCTTGTATGTGAGAGGCACAGTTAAGGGTAAGCTTAAACCACTAGTACCTTTGCCGTCCGGTTTCGACAAGTTTTAGCCTAGTCCCGAACTTTTAGGAGGCTGGGCCCTACTTGATGAATCTGATCGGCGGCCGTCTTTTCGGCCTCCTGAAAGGTCAGAGGCCCACTATTTTCCGAACCGACAAAGGTACTAGTGCTTTAAAGAAGGAATGGTCATGTGCTCTTCATGTTTGCGGGGTACACTTTTGTCGTTTTTTTCAGAAACTGCGCTCTTTTTTGTTGGTAGAGTAGATATGTGACAATGTATACACACCTCATTCATGCAGATGTTTGGTAATGCAGTTTGCTAACTTAAACTCTTAGCATACCTGTTCGTAATACACGTTAGCCATAGAGACACAGATGGATGACAGCACCTTCAGTGATTTATATTTATAGCCCCTCGTCGGTCTGCTCACTCAATTATACCTTATCCCTACAGATGGATGACAGCACTACTTATAATGATTGTACGCCCTTGTGGGTTTGCCAAGTGCTACAGAGTACCCACCCTGTAAAGATGGATATTTGAAAGTGTAATTAGGGCCTAAAAAACGAAAGAGAGCGATCCTCTGTAACTCTCTGTGCATGCATACGGTGGAGACTGTTTGCCCGGCTGGTAGCTCGGTGTCCAGAAAAGTTTTAGACCCAGGTGGGCCGGTTTCGTGATGCCCCCTCCACCGTGGCCAACCCAGACCCTGCTCTTTTGTGGTGTGTATACGACTGCGAGTTTTGGTGGACAGGGGGTTGCACTGGTGGTTTCACGCGTTGATTACGCAAGGGCAACAAGAGTTCAATGTGCTCTGGCTCTAGCGGTTCACATTCCTCGTTTGTTTTCTTAACTTTTCTAGCTTGCGTGATTGTGGAGGCAGTTGGAACTTCTTTTTAGTTTTGCAGCTGCTTTGTTTCATTCACACCAATGTCAGCTGAGTTTTTTTTTTTTTCCCCCTGTTCTAGCGCCATGCACTCGGTGCTGACGGTCGGGAATGCTTATTTTGTGACATATTCCTCGCAGACTCTGTGACACATCAGGTGTATGCTTGGCGACCTTAACTGGACATTCCGATGCCATTACTTCCATTGCGGCTTTGCCACCTCCTCGGCTGCAAGGTAAGGAAGAGAGGTTCCGTCATTGTGCCTATATACCAAGGCGTGTTTGTTTGTGCATATGTATTTGTGGTCACAGTGTGTGTGTGTGTGTTGGGAGGGGGGGGGGGGGGGGGGTCTCCGAATTTTGCTATTCTTTTTTTTTTCCGTTTTTTGTGGTGTGATTACAAGCATTTGAAAAGGTGTCCTTTGGGACGTACATCAGCTTAAAATAGAAAGATACACAGAGAAGATTAGCATGGCACCTGTGCGAGGATTACACCAAAATCAGCAGACCCTCCTCGGCTTCCGAAAAAACACAAATCCTTGAAAAGAAAGGATGTCATGCTCGCTCACCCTTTGCAGAAGTTGGACAGTTGGTCTTCTGGTTTGTTTTGGCAGAGCCATGTCTTCTCCAATTATGTGCAGTTCGGTACCACGAGTGTCTCTCTGTACTACGCTTCCACAGTCTTGATTCTCTTTTGTTTTGCTCCTTTCCCCCCTCCCTGTGCCCGCCCTCCTTCCCCCCCCCCCCCCCTGTGCCCCCAGTTTGGTCCTGGCAGTCAGGATTGTAGGAGCAGCTGAGCTACAGTCAAGGTTTTTTTCTAACACTTGAACTGCATGCAAAGGATGTAAGATGTCAACAAGATGTGTTTGAATTGATGAGGATTTGATGATTTTGATCTACTGACCTGAAGGGTTTGGATGCAAATATTGTTTGATTGGTGGGGGTCTTTTTTGCTAAATTAAAGGGCGTTGTTGTGGGCTTTGTTTAACTAAGGATGATGATAATCAAATGGTGCTTCGATGTATTGCAGAAGGTGGAGAGGCTATTATGCAGCAGCAGATTGCTACGGCTTCTAAGGACCGAACAATCAAGCTTTGGCATGTAAGCAACGGATGATAAAAGTCCTCCACATATGAGCCTCTGTGAAAAGTTCCCTTCCTTTGGCATGTGAGTGCCCCACAGGACAGGTTTTGTCAAGCATAAGCGTTAAACCACCAGTACTTGGCCTAGCTATCGGCCGTGGGAAAAAATAGAGTAGAAACGTTTCTAGTCGGATGAATTTGGGCGCTCCTGTAGTGGGCCGTACGTTTCCTAATATCGTGGCTTGTTAACGGGCACGACTTTAGGACGTACTGGTGGTTTAAACCACAACTCTATCCGACACCAGAAATTGGCTTTCTGGTGAGTTAGTGGGAGCGGGTTTTTAAGGAAGGGGGGGGCGGGGGGTGGGGGGGGACTGGAAGGTGCAGGTGGTTCCAGTGTGGTGCGATTTTCAAGCTGCAACTTTGGCAAGTTTTCGTGCGTAGAAGAATTGTCAAAAAAATATGAGAATTTGGGACCCTGTAGATCATGTCGCGATATTTCCAGGAAAAATATCAGAAAAATGAAAACAAAAATCGTTTAGACACCGCGCCAATTCGTCACATTTTCCCTTTTTGCAACTCTATAACATGTGGGCCAGCGGAAAAAGTACCGCAACTTCCGCCGCAATTTTTTGCTTTCAGTAGAATGCCAGCCACTAAAAATGCTGTCCAGGTTACTTTTATGACTTAGCCTCCCAGCCTGAAAGGCAGTGGTGGTTCAAGTAAAAAGTCAGCAAGAAATTAGTTTTAGAATTTTTCACTTAAAAAAAAAACAACCCTGTCTGTTTGAGCCTTTTCGTATTTTCTAACAGCTAGGAATATAAGTCCAAATACCAAAGAAGGATGAAGCTGATGATGGCATGTACTCACTTTGACTTTTGGCGGTTCATGACGGAATCTGTTCAGCCAAATACAAATACCCGCCGTTTTGGAAATTTGGATACATCTGGGAAGCCCCCATGTTTTGAGTATGCCCTGAGAACACTCGCGAAGATGGCAGTGTCTGAAAAATGTAAATTATTCTTTGTTTTTTCCTTTTCTTTTCTTCTTTTGAGCCATTACTACATCCGGAGGAAAATGGTGGCAGGGCCTATGGGGCCAGAAAGTAGTGCAAAATACAGAGCCCCCAGGATATCTGATCCTTAGGCCACCACGAAGGAAAAAACACAGCACGGCCAGAGGCCGCTATGAAAGTAAGCGCGACAATGTCTCCTCCAGGATTCAATCCAGGATGCCATTACGAAATTCGGTGGGTGGCTTAACCATGCTGCTGGGGGTTGATTCTGAGGGTTCCTCTCCCTCCCTTTAATCCTAGGTTAATATTTCGCCACACCAGCTTCCTCCCCC